AGTAAATAATTCTAAAAAAAAAAGAAAGAAAGAAAACCCCTGCTTGCTACCTCATCTTTTAGGCAGTATTTTAAGGGTCTTGGACTTGGGTCAGCAGATAGTGAGGTGGTTGAGACCTTACTAGGTACTGGATCCCACATGGCTGACTCCACAGTTTGAGTCCCAGACCCAGTGGCTTGAAAAACACACTGGGAGGGACGTGCAGATGGCATGATGGTTATGTTGCTTGATGCCCACATACTCAACTGTGGTTCGAGTCTCAGACCCAGCAGCTTAAAACTCATGCTGGCACATGTGCATGCACGTCGAAAATCCTGAGAGGAGAATGGAGAAGGGATTGTGGCATGGCTATTCCCACTGGTGGGGGAGTTCTCGCTTTCTGTCTCTCTGTCTCTGTCTCTCTGGTGACCACAGGTGCCCTTTAGCAAAAATCTCTCTGGAAGAAAGAAAGTCAGTCAGTCACACTGGGCCCTAGTGTGTGTGTGCTCAAAAATCCCAAGAGGAAAATGGAGAAGAAGGGATTGAGGTGTGGCTATCCCCCCTGGGAGATGATTTCTCATTTTCCCTCCCTCTCTGCCTCCCTCTGGTGAGCACACATGCCCCATGGTAAAAATCTTTTAAAAAAAGGAGATTGTCTTGGGCTCTACTGCTCCCCTAGGTGACATCTCCTGTAATAAAGATTTCCTCCAATCTAAGCAAGCTCTCATCCCAGAAATTGGCTTACTGTGCAAAAGGAGCGTTCAGGCCTGGTCTGCACATCTGTCCAGTGACAGCAGCTATTATTCTGATGATTATTCGATGGCATTACCGCTCATGCCCCCGTGCCCCACAGACACACTCACACTCCAATTCTGAGCTTCTCAGAATCCTGGGGCCACAAAAAAGAAGTGATTTCTTTTTCATCCTCTTCTTTTTTAAATAACCTTTGTTTCCTTAGGAAGTGACTTGACCAGTCATTGGGAACAGCAGTCAGCGTAATGCCTATGTTGCTGGACTCTCATGTAGTCGACTGCGGTTTGCATCCCGGACCCGATGGTTTAAAACTCATGCTGGGTGCATGTGTGTGCCTGAGTGCCCAAGATCCCGAGAGTAGAATGGAGGAGAAGGGATTGTGGCAAGACCATCCCCCCTGAGGGTGATTTCTCGCTTTCTGTCTCTCTGTCTCTCTCTGTCTGTCTGGCCAGCGCACGTGCCCTATGGCAAAAACCTCTCCAGAAAATAAAGGCAGTGACTAGACCAGTCATTGACTCAGGCCCACCTGAGCAATTCAGTGCCCAGCCCAGCTGCCCTCCTGCTACTCCATCTCCCACAGCCCAGCTATGGAAAACACACTTGGCCACATTCCTGGGATTCCCAGAAATGGTCCCATTTGTTACAGCTCAGGTATCTGCCTTAAAGGGACAGTTTCTGGTTTGTGAGAGAGCTGGCCCCAACTTGACTTGATGAGGCAGCCAAGGCCTGGCAGGTCTCTGAGCTGGGAAGATCTGGGAGGGGGAAGACTAGGTGGCCCAGAACCATACACAGGGGACAGAGAAATTCTTCGGGCTCCCCCAGGCCTACCCTCCTTCACTTGGAGCTCAGCCATGGCCACGCTTATCTCCAACAGCTCCCTGGAAATCTAGCCAAGGCCCAGCGTCTCGATTTACTCTAGGTCAGCTGGCCCCCAGCTCCCTGGTACCTACTGTAGCCATCACTGCTTTGTGCTGATGCTGACTCTTTGGCACCTACAACCTAACAGTTTCCAAGGACCTCTCACCCACTGGTCAGTTTTCACAATCACCTCCAAGTCATAGGCATCATTCTCATCATGCAGATAAGGAAAATCAGAGAAGTTAGGACACTTGCCTAAAGTCACATAGTTAAATGTGTGTAATAAGGGAGGAAGGGGAAAGGGAAATGAATTACTGGGCTCTCGCTGTGAGCCAGGCTCTGTACCAGGGACTTGACCTGTTTTCTCATCCTCATGACACTCTGCAGAGGCCAGTGATTATTCCCTCTACAAGGAGCAATGAGGAACCAAAGGACAAGGGACAGTGGCAGAGCCTGGAGTGGTATCCACATGCCTGTGATGTTCTGGTGTGTGAGTCCTAGGCTGCTGTACAAGGGGTCTGCCCTGCAGGTAGAGTATTCTGAGAGGGCTTTCCCAGGCCTAGCCTCATCCAGAAAGGTGCCCACAGCCTAGGCTCCCCCCCTAGCTCTCAGAAGGATGCTTGAGTCAAGCATGAACTCTAGTTTGGCATCCCTACTGACCACAGGCACAGCCTCCAGTTATGCTGAGGCCCAGACATCCCATTCTAGTTACACACACCCCTCTCTTGCCCTGGCCAGGTAAGAGCCAGGGAACTCAGTTTACAGGCCCTCCTGTGGGCCCGACCTAGTGCTGGGAGAGTTATAACTTTTTAAAAAGTCTTTTTGCAATAGGGCACATATGCATTCGCCAGAGAGAGACAGCCAGAGGGAAAGGAAGAAATCACTCACCCCCGAAGGGAATGGCCATACTGCAATCCCTTCTCCATTTTCCTGCTGGGACTTTGGGACTTTGGACATGCATGTGCACGTGCCCAGTGTAAGTTTCAAGCCACTAGATCCAGGACTTGAACCACAGCCTGCCATGGGGAGGCCAGCACCTTAACCACTCCACCATCTGGTGGCCCCCACTGGGTGATTTATATAATGTAGCACACTGGATTCTTACCCAGGAAGTAGATTACATTGCCCAGTTAGAGAGGCCTTTCAGAAAGGTATTGCTGAGGTCACAATACCAGCCAGAAACTCAAAAGACCAACGAAACTGGAGGCTGTAATGTTCCAGCCAGCAGCCACCAGGTGGCATACGTGCTTAAAATACGATGGGACTTCAAAAAGTTCGTGGAAAATGGAATTAAACCTGCTATCTGGAACCAGCAGATGGTGTATTTTTTAGGTCCCTGGACTCTCATATGGTTGACAGTGATTTCAAGCCCGGACCTAGCAGTTTCAAACTCACACTGGGTATGTGTGCATGCATGCCCCAAATCCCAAGAGGACAAAGGAGGAGAAGGGATTGGAGCATGGCCATTCCCACTGAGGGGTGATTTCTTGCTCTCTGTCTCTCTGGCTAGCACACACACATTATAGCATAATATCTCTTTAAAATAAATAAATAAAAATAAGTAATCTCTCAGTGCAAAAAATTTACAATCTACGTACAGCCTTTTCCTAATAATGGTCATTTTCCATGAACTTTTTGAATACACCTGTATATTATACTCTGGGCAGCCAGGGTACTCAGGACCCAGCGTCTGCTAGAACGCGATAGGACTCTGAGAAGGATGTTCGGAGGGGTGAGAATGGGAAGCTAGGATGATAATGTCTTAAAACTCCTGGAGCAGATGAAGCAAAGGAGCTCCCTGGTTCAGGCTTGCTCTCTGGTTCAGGCTCTATTCCAAGCCCTTTATCTGTATTAAATGCATCTATTAATAACACAACAGTTCTGTCGAGTTACTCTCCTCATTTTGCAGGAAAGAAATTCAGGCACAGAATAAATGAGTCATGCCAACATTTAGGGAAGAACCGGGGAGAGCCTAGGTCCCTGGGCTTGTGTGAGATCCCAGTAGCAAGGAGGAAGGAGAAGGGGGTCAGGAGTGCTTAGAGTGGTCCTGAGCCAGCCCTATGTCCCCACAGAGTGGTACTTCATGGCCCTGGACTCCATCTTCTTCTGCATCTACGCAGTGGAAGCCGTGCTCAAGATCATCGCCCTAGGCCTCGGGTACTTTTATGATGCCTGGAACAATCTGGGTAGGTGGGGCTGAGGATGTGAGAGAGAGACAGAGAGAGAGGGAAAGACTGAACAGTTTTGGGGGCGGGACTGAGGATGAAAGAGAAGCAGGAACAGGTGTCTTAGCACGGAGAGAACTGTGGGTGTGGGCTAGGGCCTCACCAAATCTCAGATCTGGTGCTCGCGTTTTCACTTTCTCTCTCTCTGGTCAAATTAGAAACAGAATAATAATAAGTTAAATTAAACTAAATAATTCTTTGAATAATTCAGACTTCTTCATCATGATTATGGCTCTCGTGGACTTCGTGCTCATGCAGGTGAATTCCTTCTCCTTCTCCTTCTACAACCAAAGCCTCTTCCGCATCCTTAAGGTCTTCAAGAGCCTGCGGGCCCTGAGGGCCATCCGGGTCTTGCGAAGGCTCAGGTCAGTACAACTGCAGCTGCCCACCCTGGTGTGGGATCTCTGAACGAAGAGGGGACACAGGCCTGGACTCTAAGTGAGGATGGAGTCAGGGAGGCAGGGGGAATGTTCCTAATAAGCCTCTTGCCATCCTCTGGGACCATGCTCTTCAATTCTCAGAGAGAGACCACAACTCCTCCTAGTCACCTACAAACCAGAAACCTTTGGCCTTCAGTGCGGCTCTGGCTGCTGGGCCCAGGCCCCGGCCTGCTGACTCAGCCTCCTGTTCCTTCTCTGACCACAGAATCCTGACCAGCCTGCAAGAAGTGACAGGAACCTTGGCCCGGACCTTGCCATCTATCACAGCCATCCTCATCCTCATGTTTACCTGTCTTTGTATCCTGGGTTAC